GCAGCCCAAGTATGGTTCTGGTCCAATAAACACAGGTCCATACAAGCTTGGAGTTCATCTTGCTGGAGCTCCGTGCTTCTGCCTGTCTGATGCAATACTGATATGATCGTTCACTGGAGGTCTATTAGTCAAATCTCTTGAGCACCATTCAATGCCGAAAACTGAAAGATTGTAGCACACTTTTCGATATAGATTTGTGTCCCTAGCGGCCATTTTGTCAATATACATTCCTTCTACACGTCGAAAATTGTATAATTGTAAAATTGTTCTATCTGTCATTCGGTTGCCCCCTTACAATCAACCCTCAGAAGTCTTCGAGAGTCTTGTGCGACCAAGGAATGACGGTGGCCTTACCTTTTAACGTGTGATCCCAAACACTTTCTTGGGCCATCAGAAAAATTTCTGCAGTCGATGGGAATCGAACCCACGACCGGCAAGCGAATGCGGATTAGAATATAGACACTCTGTCCGCACGGCAACTGTGTTGCCAGTTTTCGAAGCTAGTTATTGGCTTGTTTGTCAAGTAAATTGTGGATCTGCCCTTTGCGACACCATCCAGCATCCAGGGATTATACGACCCGGTGGGTTGTCACTATGCCGAGACAAAGATCAGCGGCACGACTTTTCGTCTGTCTTTATCTTCTGGCATACGGCAGAGCGACTTGATTAGTGTTATCTATACAGAACGCCGATTGAAACGTTGCAGCTTGTTGAGGATTGATAGCCTGGAAATTACAAGCTTGCAATTGGTTCTCAAAGCTTTCAACTAGTACTTTTTTTGACAAGCTATTTCCAACGCAAAATGACTTATAATTTGGAACTGACATTCAAATGTGTTGACAAATGACACAGTTTTGAACGCTAGAGAATTTAGACAGCGCCAAGTGATGGTAGATTCGTCTATATAAAAATTCACACCGGCAAATTTGAGGGAACAAGTATACACCAAATTTCCTCTTGACTCATTCGCTTGATTTCCAAGTTTTTCTTCCATGAATTATGGGTTGATTCCTTGCGAATACATCTGACTTCGTACCTGAACAATTCGGCTTTATATCATATAGGTACAGGGATGGAATGAAAGTGATGTTTTTTTGTGTTTTTTGGAAGCACCCTGTGGAGTGAACCACTTAACAATTGAAAACAGCTAAATTTTGCACACTTTCACCTAACAGGTTATTTTGTAAAGAATGCTACCGATATACAGGTGTGATTAAAAAATCGCATTCACAAAACATCATTCGAGGTGTAACGTTTCAGTTGCGACGAACTACTGTATAGTGAACAGGGTAATCGATAATTAGCGTCAAGATCTATATCTGAGGAATGTAATAAGTTAGCAGAAATATACGGTGGATTCTGAAAAATTAGATGATTTTCCCAAAAAAAAACTTGTTTCGGAACTTTCATAATATTCAAAATCTTCGAAGTTATAGCGAAAAATAATTTTTTAAATTTCAACGTATTAGCAATATTATATCAAGGTGAGTTGGCTCAAATTCCAATGTTTTGCAGCCCAAAACCTACCAATCTTTTATGTACAGGGTGTGCCTCTTAAAATGGACCCACCCTTAACTCTCTTGTTGTCAGAGATTTGAAAAAATATCAAACTTTTATTTCGTGAAGTTGCTTCATATACAGGGTCATTCGTTTTTCCGGAAAGGACATAAACTTTGATGTTTCCAATGGAACTCCTCAAATATTTATTTTCTGTCGATGTCGATAAAGCCTTTTCTGATTACAAAATATAGTAAAATATAACTTGCATATGTGGATGGACCATAATTGAGTTATTGATGATCAAACTTTACCAAAATACCACATCTTCCATTCAAACTGTCCATTCCTATTCTCAGTATTGAGATTATATAGGGTGTTTCATTAAAAAAATCAAAGTTTATGTCCTTTCCGGAAAAACCTGTATGATCAAACAATTTCACGAAATGAAAGTTTGGGTCGTTTCGAAATACTTTTTTATTCAACATTTTTCATATATCTGAATACAATAGAGTTAAGGGGGGTTCCAAGAGGCACACCCTGTAAAATGACCTAAAAGCCATCCTGTATATAAGTTATGCAAATCAATGTTGGGTTACATTTTGTGTATCTACTTCATTATATTTTTCAAGCTTCCATGAGTTGTTTCTATTGTAAAAAATAGTTAATTATTACCAGTAATACGTGAATTTCTTATAATTTTGTTACAATGAAATCAACATTAATTCTTTTACAAATTTGAAAGAATATTTGATCCGTTGAGATATGCACGTCCGATTTTTCTGCAACTTTTTCCATTTCCTAGATATTTGTCTGGGTCGCCAATTATTAGTTGATCACCGTGTACTTGGGTCACTGCAACGGTGTTGTGACGCTTGGCACTACACAACAACTACCTCGGCACTCGCAGTACTAGTACTACCGCGTACTGGCCACGTACCTGTTATTTGAGTTTCCTCATTCACAAGCACATTTTCTTTCTTTTCGTTTTCTCGTAGTCCAAAAAATCTATGACTTGTAGGCAGACGAATTGAATTTTTTTGTTGTTTGAATTTATTTCTCGTAAAGTATTTAGTAGGTCTTTTCAAAAACATAACTATGAGAGTATTTCAATCCTGAAGCTGCGGTTGCTAAGGCAAAAGTAAAATAATATACAGGCTTTTACATAAAAATGCCTCAAGCCACAGCGTCGCTACTTCTAGACTTACTTTTCTTAGACGTTTTTTCTGAAACTACTCTATTTTCTTGATACAGTGATTTATAAAAAGCTTACTTCTGCTCAAAATATTTTAGCTTTCAGCTTCCTTGGGTATTTTTCACTGGTTTTCAAATAATCATCATTCCAATATTGTATTTTTTTCACGCCATTGACAATTATGAGTGAAAGTCTCATGTTTTGTTGAAGATACCAGACAAATAACATACTGAGAGTTAATTCAATGACATTCCTTGTTTGCCAGAGTGTCAATTATTATTCCTAACTAATTTTGCACAAGAATCACTGAATTCAGAAACAATTCAGAAAAATATACCTAACCAAACCATTAAAAAAACGACAGTCGCTAGAGTTGAACAAAATAATTATTAGTGCCCTCTTGTAGTATTCGGAAGAAAGTTGATTTTCTTTTTTGTTTATCACAATCGAATTATTATAAGTAGTGTCGCTATGGCTTGGGAATTGAATTATCTCTTGAATTTTAATCCTGAGGATAGATAACCATAAAACGAGTTGAGTTTTTGAAAAGTACTCTGTTGAACTCTTGATAATATATTTATTTCATAAAACGGTTTTAGTGTAGTTGAGTAACAGTTGACAAAATACTTTTGCCGAGGTATAGTTTGTGTTGCGGCTAAAGCAAAGTAGTGCGTTCTTAGAATTATATTATAACAGTGCAAGGTTGGTCATACGAACAATATTTTGAAAAATAAGTCTTTTTTTTTCAATAACAGAGCCAATGAGTTTATTATTTATCTTCCTGTAATATTGTTTAATTGACTTTCTATTCCTTCCAAAAGCTTTTTGATACTTGACCTCAAATTATGCGTAGGTTGAGTATAATTCGGTTCCATTCTGAGAATTTTTTGTTGATGGAGGTAATAGCATAATACATTGTGCATAATATAATAGATCTCAAACTTCATAATATGGACTGATTGACATGGACTATTATGAAATGATACAGATGTCAATTTCAAACTTTCTCGTTTTTGTGGCTACCTTGTACAAATATGTCTGCCTTCAAGATAGAATAGATCGTTCTATTAGAAACGAAATTAGTCATAGTAATATTGTGTAGAGGTTCTGTTTGGCATGACCACAATGTTTCCTCCTCCCCTGGTATGCTTCTTTGAACAAATAAACTAGTGCTACGTAGAATAGGAATCTTCTACATATAAATCAGAAATCACCATTAAACAATTATTAATTGTCAGAATATCAAATTAGCTCACACATTGTGAATATATAGTTCTATCAGATCTTTCAACAAGTGTAAAGTATGTAAATAAAGCTTCAACTAGTTGCAGTGTCTTTGTTTTAGCAACGCCAAATTGGTATTTCAAATGTCTGTGAATTGGCAGAAATGTTGATAAATCTAATTTGAAAAGGCTATCAATTTGTTGCTGAAACTAGGACAGCTGAAAGAATATATGAAAATGATATGTTTTTCTGCCTGCTGATCAATTCTCTTACAGGTTTACCAATTTAGTTAGAAAGCTCTAAGGTAGCATCTGAATTCTATAGGCTTACTGCAGTTCCTATATACATATACATATACTTCCAAGTTTTCGCATAAGATATCTTCTTGCTTTTTAGTTCAGCAAAGATAATTTTAGCGCAAGGTATCTAAATAATGATCTAGTCTGAAATGCTGTTTCTCTAATATAAAGTAGAAGTTGATGAGTAAATGCCTTGATATGACCATATCCTCATTGATTTCTAAAATCTGCTTGTAATTTTCTAACCTCTAACGTGTCTAAAAACCACTACTAATTGATCGCCAAGTAAGTAACCAACCGTTTTTTTTATAACAAAGAAACATACGAAATATTATCCCCGCTATTTAACCCGCCCCTCCCCATTGTTGAGCAGAAGTGTCGCTTTATAGTCATGGTGTCGTTTTGCAAAATTGTTGTTGAAAATTTTACTGTACTGTACGTTTTTTGTAACAAAAAGCTTTGAGCAAAACGACACGATGGTGATTGGGTTGCATGAAGTATGTGTTAATAAAAAAAATATGTTTCCTAACAGCATGGATGTGTTTGGTCGTAAGTATCAACAATTTTCAAGTGTTACAAGTTGATAATGAAAATATACAAAGATCTTATGTAAACAGATATTCATCTTTTTCAGAAAAAAAAATTGTCATGTATAAAACATCTCAAATGTACCCAACTGAAAAATATCCTAACGAAATCAAAAATCAAAAGACGCTTGAAAATTGTTTGTATGTTCACATACCCAAGTGATCGGACATTTTTTTTGAATACGCGTTTTCCTATAGGTTGATTTCTATGGCATACGGTCAGATTGGTATGATCCAAGCTGCTGCTGGCTTTTTCGTGTATTTCGTCATCATGGCTGAAAATGGATTCTTGCCGATGAAACTGTTCGGAATCCGTAAACACTGGGACTCGAAGGCTGTCAACGATTTGTCAGACTCGTATGGTCAAGAATGGGTAAGTTGATGAAAACACTCTCAATCTCTTGTTGCACGACCGTCCGTAAATTAGCACTTCACCGCCTGGGGTGTAGGTAAATAAATAATGAATAAAAAAATTTATTGAATCATTCACGATCATAAAAAATGACAGCAAGAAATTTTCACACAATTTATATACAGATACATGAAAATACAACAGAACCACATAGTATATAGAAGAGAATATTCAGTCTGTAACCTTTCCTAGTACCACAAAGTATATGAAGATATATGAAATGCATTTCATCGATTGAAATATTCGTCGATACTATAAACTCGTAGTACGCATTCAGAGATTATACACACAGGCGACTGGACTATTTTTTTTATTTCTTGAATAGAATCATCACTCAAATACCTTTCAATTTCATATTTTTTAAGAATTTCTCGGTCGTTTTTAGGCGTTAAAATAAAATCATCAATAATGCCACGGTAATTTTCATATTTTTTAAGAATTTGTGTAAATAATAATTTATATTAATTCACACTAGAGGACATTTGACTCGGTGAACGTGACAACACGGCGCACGACTTGTGGGCGTGGTCTTGTCAGTTCTCAGCATTCAGCACAATGTTGCCAAGTCTCCATCATTTACATAATATTTTGTTATGGAGAATGAGAAATATTTGGACATGCTGGTTGCTCGAAGCTCATGTATTTCACGTAGTGAAACATACTTTGTTGGACTGATATCTGCTAAAAAGCACTCTCAAACCACAAAAGTTCACAAATAAACAATCAAAAGTGAAGTTTTCCTCACTTGAATTACTACAAATAAATCGAAATAATACACACAAGCAAATGAACCATATCAAAACAAAGTACTTTCATATAGTTCCACAACTGGCTACTTTGGCGCTGCGATCTTAAATTCAGTCGCATATGGGAGAGAATCGAGTTATTTCGAGAATTGAATACATGGTATTTGAATACTTGCAAGAATCGAATACTCATCCGAGTACACTTTTGTATTTTTCAGACTTACAAGGACAGAAAAACTTTGGAATACACCTGCCACACGGCCTTCTTCGTCTCGATCGTGGTGGTCCAATGGGCCGATCTGATCATCTGCAAGACCCGCCGCAACTCGATCGTGCACCAGGGCATGCGCAACTGGGCCCTCAACTTCGGTCTCATCTTCGAGACGGCCCTGGCCGCCTTCCTGTCGTACACGCCCGGCATGGACAAGGGGCTGAGAATGTTCCCACTCAAGTAAGTTGAAATTTTTCTTCGGACTTTCAATAGATAGTGGCACCTGTGAAGTCCCTGTCATTTCGAATAGCTCTGTATAATATTTGTTATTTGCAAATAACACAGAACCTCATGTCCATAAGTTTCAATCAAAATGAGTTATCCACACAAACATGGCGAAATAACTATTTATATATCAAGGGAGGAAATGTATCCATTTCCTCCCGCGTGTGAAGTTTGATGCAAAGCAAAGCATCATTGTTTGTGTGTTGTGCTTCAGGCGGTCTATCTCTCGATCCATCATTATGCATTACAAAGGTATACTATGCCATGGACAGTTGGCGGCATTTGACAAAAGTCAATGTGACACTTCTGTCATCATCACTTAATTGATTTGTATATTGTGTAACTGCATTTGAAAGTTTTGACGAGAAGTATGTTCGGAATATGAAGAAGCATATGATATCATTGGAATTCAAAAGGGATATTATTGTTATTTGTTTTATAATAGTGATAAAGATACTGATTATACTTGGATTACAAAGATTTATCTACGCCAAAGGAGGCATGCTGAAGCCAATTTATTTTACCTCCCTCGGGAGTTAATATTTTTTTCCTCCCGTGGGATTCAATTGATAACTTTGTTTCCTCTAATGAGCGAGCAAACGCCTACTTTCGATTCAGTGAGTAGATAAAAATTATAATATTTGAGGACAAGATGTAAACACACGAATAATATTCACAAATTGTCACGAAGTTGGAACCTTATTAACGTCAATTTCAAATCGTCCAATAGGATGACTTGTACTCTTCCCCCCTTCAGTTCAGTTCTCCCTCAATGTAAGATTTGTTAGTAAAGTTTCACATTAAGAGTGAAAGAACGTAAGTGTCCTCAAGGCTCTCCATAACTTGAGGTTTTCTATTTGTTTTCCGATTTCGTTCAAACATACCACAGCCTTTAGGGCGATCCGGCAAAATTTTGTATTTTTTTATTGACATTGACCTCACGTTTCAGTAGAGCCAGATGGTGAGACTAAAAATGTCCTCATTTCTTGAAAAGTTATCTCATCTTGAAAAACGTCAAAAATGAGAGTGGTCCACTTGTTTCTTTGAGCACTACTTCTGATTGAAAATTGGTTTCTGCATTATCGGCCATTCCTCATTCCTGTTTTCGTTCAAAAACTCACATCCCCATTTTTTTTGCAGATTTGTGTGGTGGTTGCCAGCCATTCCCTTCATGCTGTCCATCTTCATCTACGACGAAGTCCGGCGATTCTACCTCCGTCGCTGTCCAGGCGGCTGGTTGGAACAAGAGACCTACTATTAGGCGCTGTATCTGAGAGATGACTGCCACGTGGTGGAACTAGCGGCCCTAAGAGCCGCAAGTTGCTTAGTCGTTTCGGTAGGATGGACTTCGTGCGCATACTCAGTTAAAACTTCAGTAAAACCTATATCAATACCACCGACAAAAATCATCCATCATCTTCATTCGGCGATCGAGATGACGTCTTCACCTTTCGGATTATTGTACAAAAAAAATACTGTTGCTACTTCTAGTAAATTCGCTGATAGTTATGGAAGGCGTACAGGAATGATTTGCGCAGTCGAGTTGATCTTGTACGCATTAGTTGTTTATTATTCCAAGATGTTTTGATGGTTGAGAGGTCTTGTGACAGAAAACGAGCCGATACCTTTAACCGCAACCGAAAACAATAAAACACACTGTCGATCAATTTTGTTTAGTAACAAAATATAGAGAGGTTTCATACATTCCAGTTGATGCCTTAGGGCGGTCATCACTAGACGATGTTCGATGGATCACGAGACTGGGTGACAGCCTATCTCGTTGCCTGTTGGAGACCTCACCCAGGCTCTCACATAGTAGCATCGATGTGGATGAATGATTTTAGTATTATTTAGGCTTTTAACACTTAGGTTAGCTAGATTGTAACTGTGTTGTTATTCGTATTAAGTGTCAACAAGGTCGTGCTCAATACACAACATGACAACTACGATAGTGTTCGATAGCAGATACGGTCTCATTTTACATCTTTCTCTCCTATTTTACAATGCACTAGCTGTCTGACCTAACCAGATGTGCCTAGACCTAGTTAGCCCCTAAGCCACCCTAACCTTTAGTTCAATTTCTGCGAACCAGATGCGAAAGAGGTTGGGTTCAAGGCTAGAACGACAAATTAGGTTAGGTTAAGAGGCTATATCGATCTGGGCGAATCTGAGCTACTTTTTAGGTTTAGATATGACGCCTGCGCATTTCTCGTACGATGTGAGAAACAGATGCTGAGTGTGCCTGTATCTGCTTGGGTGCACTACAAATACTATCAAGTTGGTAAACGTTCGACAGATCCATTTCTTTGTATATACTTTAACGTTATAGCTCTCTGAGGTGTGTCAGGACTGAGCCTGACTCCATTAAAATCGTTGAAATACATTAGATATTGAAGGTCTGCTTTCGTAGAGCCTTATTTTTCCATAACCGATTGCGCTCCGGTCTGAGACCAGTGGCCACGGTATTGTTATCTCATTGTACATATTTTTATGTGAATCACTTAATTATTTTTGCTTGTGTTCTTTTCACGTTCATGTTTTAGTACATAAAGGAGCTGTATAAATTTGGGTTTTAATAAAATGGATGATAGTACATCGGACTTTTCATACGTCTCCGGCATAATAATGAGAATGAGGTTAAGCAAACAAATATATGTCTCCTATTGGATTGGATGTCACAAATTCATTTCAAAAATATAACTAACCGATATCAAGAGGAGAGTATCATGTTAATGAGGTTTGAATTCAATTATCGGTGCTTTTTTCCCAAAATCTTCACACACTAATTCTTTCAACAGAGATATTTTTTTATACCCCACTCGCATTATGGATTCATCAAATAAAATACAAAATAAAATTTGTTTGATAATTTATTGCATATATTCTGAACAATGTGAGTTTTAATGGACTAAATCAGATCTACTTATATGGATTATCACAATCTCAGAAACTGATTTGATTCGAAAATAATATGTAGGTATACGCGGCTCTGAATATCTGAAACAAAAGAAAATTGAATGATAACCATGATAACGTAGAAAATCGTTATTCAGAATTTTCAATGAAATTTAGTACATTAAGAGGGCTGGTTCAGAGGAGGTTATTTTTTATTTCATATCACTATTGCGATCTATACCTAGAGAACGGTAAATGATAAGAAATTGGTTAAGACAAAAGTTGCCTATTTATGTGTACAATGAAACAATGGTTCCAAATCCAATCACCAATAAATAATTGGACCATGATGGAATTCGCGGAACAAATGTACCAAAACATTGCAGGTACTATACATATCTGTACCCCGTAAGATATTAACTACTTAAATCCACAGGTCCGTGTTCGAAAAAATACGACACAGCACATTGAAGCAAATTTGAAATAGAAGAAATATTCTTGACTATTCCCACTCTTGTTCTTGAGAACCAATCAGAATCGACCATTTTCACGTATTCTCCTGTATTCCAGCCGAGATTCCAGCGATATTATTCGTTTACTTAAATTCATGAAACTTGCTCAACCAATACAGGAGCCGAAGTGACCCACACGTGACCAACCAACCTCGTTTTTCAGCGAAGTTTATAACGTCAATTATGATGGCAGCCAGAATGATAGATGCAGTGTGCGCAACTCGCGCGAGGCGCTCGTTTATTGTCTCAATCATGAAATATTGATAGGAATACTACTCGTGATGCTATTGCTCCTGGAAATATTCGTCGATTCACATACTCCAGCTTACTGCTTAAATTTCGCTCATGACATTGATTAAAAACTTCTCGCCTATGGCTTCAAAAAACTGGAGTTTTGAAAGCATAAGGAACAATAATATGAAGTCATAGTTTTCCTGCAAAAAATTCCTAATATGTTTTTAAAAAAGCGACCCCATTTTATTTCAATAAAAAAAACAGTATATTCCAAGAAATGATGGAAGTAAGATATGGTGTAATTACTGATGTGCTTTTGTTTCAGAAATTTTACTCGTCCTCTCGAGAACAGCGAGAGCAAAGGTTCCGTCGATCTTCTAATAGATGGCGACATTCCGACATTGCACAATTATGACATCTGTCAGTTTTGAAATTGTCGCAGATTTTTCGAATTCAGAGTTGAACAATGTAGTTGAATAATCCCACTGTTACATATGTTCCGCGTACCTAAAATGCCATTTGCCATTTTATTTTCACTCGTCACAGCAGCAATAGCAGCATCACCATCTAGCGAGAAAATGTAGAATCAACGTCTCGCTCGATGTTACGTAGAGAAATCATAGTAGGCGGTCGAGTGATTTATATGAAATTCTCAATACGTAATAATGACCGAATACGCGCAACATATCTCACTTCCATCATTGTCCAAGAGGATGTTTGTCTCTGAAAAACTGATCATATTGATGGTCATATTCATACTGATCCAAATTTGGTACGAATCGCACAACTAATACCTGATGAGATATAGAGGGGCGAGGGACAATTTTGATTTTAATACATGTGTAAAATGCGCCATTCATTTGCTTCGTAAGTTGAGTACTAGGGTGACACAGGGTATCGGGCCACCCCTGTAACTTCTGCATTCGTCAACGGATTTTTCTGAAATTCGGTACAGTTATATAAGCAATTATTTCGGATTTGATCACATTACAATCCAATATGGCGGACTTCCGGTATTTCTGGAAATGCCAGCAACTTTGTTTTTTCAAATGAAACACCCTGTATATTTTTACATATTCAAGTTCAACAGGTCGAAACAAGTGCAATCTTTATTTCAAATGTCATTTTTTCGAAAAAATTTAAATTAAAATTGTTTTTTCATTTTACCTCGTGGATAAATGAGATGTGGTCAAGACTATTCACAATGAGTCACACATAACAGAAGAACATAATTTTTTCTGAAAAATTATTTTTTGTGTCACTTATCCAGGAATCAATTCAGCCACATCACTTTTTGATCAAAAATTATTTTTTTTCAAATGGAACCCCTATGGGCCACCTACCCGTCTCTCTAGAACATACATTAAGGAACAAAATGACATATCATTTTTGTTTTTTGGTGAAGTAACAAATTGTATACATTCAAAAATCAACAACTAGTTTATGAATTTCCTTGCAGTTAGAATAATTTTTCTACTAGGTAGGCTGTGGAATAAATGACATTTGACATCAAGATTGCACTTGTTTTGACCTGTTGAACTTGAATATGTAAAAATATACAGGGTGTTCCATTTGAAAAAACAAAATTGCTGGCATTTCCAGAAAAACCGGAAGTCCGCCATATTGGATTTCAATGTGATCAAATCCGAAATAGTTGCTTATATAACTGTACAGAATTTCAGAAAAATCCGTTAACGAATGCAGAAGTTACAGGGGTGGCCCGATAATCTGTGTCACCCGGTATAGTGTGAGTATTAATTGTAAACTTGATTTACCTTCAGCAATAGTTCATTACCAAGAATTATAACTCCGCCACTTTCCAGCTTTAGAGGACGCTGTGCTCTCAGCATCATGATGTGAAGACTTTTTTTGATTACGGGAGTTTGTTCATACCAGCCACATTCAAAGATATCGAGCCCAAACTTCTCGCTCTAGAATTAATTTAACAAAATCGATATGGATGTCTTTTATTTCGATAAAACTAGGAACTTACGTTTAAAGACAAATCATTGGCTTGGGTATATAAATTGGTAACTTCAACGAACAAGAGGACCGTCTCGGTCATGTACAAAGTGAATCCCAATTTGCTGGCCTTGAAGACCTATAAGAATTTTTTCAAGTGTTTTCAGTTTCATGGTAACAGTAGTTTATGGTATACATATCATAATTAATACCAAGGTTGATACTTACAACTAGCATGTTGAACAGAATTATAGAAATGTGATAAGATTTTGCCAAGAAGTCGACCAAGAAATAAAATTTCAAGGAGTCGTTCAAATCAGTCACATACCTGAAAATTATTTAGTTTCAGTTCATATAGATATTAAGGCTTTTTTATTCTCAACGCTTAATTTCCTCAAACATGTATGATAGAAACGTTTTTAAACTTAGTAACATTTTGGGGCAAATCATCTGATTTGTCCTCAGTATAGAGATGATATTAATATTCATATTTTATAGAAAAGAGGAGAAAAAATCCCAAAAAAATTTGTAAATTTCAAAATTTGATTTTCATAAAATTAATACTACTTGATTTGAATTACTGAACTCAAATCACTGACAAATTGCCGTATCACCTATATGATAAATATTACTCATATTCCTCTGTGAAAAATGCATCACATTCTAAGGATCTTTGTGGAACCGCTGTGAAATCGACAATTCAATAGGATTACTTGGATAAAACATCTTCATTTTGACAGGAATAGGTCACAAATAAACTGAATGAATTATATATACGTCATATAGCGTGATCTTTCG